CTTTCTCTCTCTCTCTTTCTCTTAAATTTATGCTTTTGTTGGAAATTCAGATATACAGAGAGAAGGAGAGAGAGAGAGGAAGATCTTCCGTCCTCTGGTTCACTCTTCAAGTGGCTATAATGGCTAGAACTGAACTGACCAGGAGCCAGGAGCTCTTCTGGGTCTCCCGCGTGGGTGCAGGGCCCCAAGACTTTTGGCTGTCCTCGCTCCACTGCTTTCCCAGGCCACAAGCAGGGAGCTGGATGGGAAGTGGAGTAGCTGAACTAGAAGCAGCACCCATATGGGATGTTGGCACTTGGAAGTAAGATTACCTGTTGGGGCCTGGCAGCGTGGCCTAGCAGCTAAAGTCCTCGCCTTGAACGCGCCTGGATCCCATATGGGCGCTGGTTCTAATCCCAGCAGCTCCACTTCCCATCCAGCTCCCTGCCTGTGCCCTGGGAAAGCAGTCGAGGACAGCCCAAGCTTTGGGACCCTGCACCCACGTGGGAGACCTGAAGAGTTCCTGGCTCTTGGCTTTGGATCAGTACAGCACTGGCCATTGCGCTCACTTGGGGAGTGAATCATCGGATGGAAGATCTTCCTCTCTGTCTCTCCTCTCTGTATATCTGACTTTCCAGTAAAAATAAATAAATCTAAAAAAAAAAAAATAAGAATACCTGTTGATCCACCACACCACCCCCCTTAGCCTTCCTTCTTTTTTTCCAGAGGGGAAAATATACTATTTGTTATAGAACAAGCTCAGGAGGGACCCTTAGATTCATGGAGTTGATTTGGAAACAGAAGTGTGTTGGGCCTTCACAGATTTGTCCAGTAAGCAGTGGAGAGACCGCTGTTGAGGCCGACACCATGCCCTGGCTTGCCGTGGAGCTTTCTCTGAGCACTTCAAAGGGAGCAGTGGCTCAGATCCACATCTTTACTTTCACTGATGTCATTTGTTCTTGCAAAATATTAAAAAAAAAAAATCTAAGAACTACTGAGAGTAAGAAGAGACAGAGTGATTTAGAACTGGAGTTATCATGACCAGTACAGTGGCTCAATTGGCTAATCCTCCACCTGCAAGTGCTGCAGTCCCATATGGGTGCGGGTTCTCTCTTTTTTATTTTATTTCTTTATTATTTTATTTTATTCTTCTTTCTCTCTCTTTTATTTTTATCGGAAAGGCAGATTTACAGAGAGAAGGAGATACAGAGAGAGAGATCTTCATTCCATAAGTTCACACCCCAAGTGGCTGCAATGGCCAGAGCTGAGCTGATCTGAAACCTAGAGCTTCCTCCAGCTCTCCCACATAGGTGCAGGGTCCCAAGGCTTTGGACCATCCTCAACATACTCCATATCGGGGACCCTGGGATGACATCACGTGGCCATCTACCGTTCCAGGGTACTCCTGTGTTTGGCCGTTGGGAGTGGCCCTCTCCTCTTTTCACCCCACTTTCGCCCAACCCTTAACCCTCCCCACCCTAATCAATGGTCCACATGGACTTACTTTCCCCTCAGCTATGTAAACATGAAAAATAAAATGAATTTATCTTATAAAAAGAGATTTGCTTCTTTTTACTGGAGATACAGATTTACAGAAAGGAGGAAAGGCAGAAAGAGAAAGCCAGAAAGCAGGAGCTTCTTCTGGGTCTTTCCTTAGGGTTAAGGGGCCCAAGGACTTGAGCCATCTTTTGCTGCTTTCCCAGGCCATAAAGCAGGAAACTGGATAGAAGTGGAACAGCTGGGACACAAACCAGCTCCCATATGGGATGGATCGCAGTGCTTGCACGGGGAAGATTAGCCAGTTGAGCCACTACTGCAGCCCCAATTAGTTTAAATTTTAAACTACCTTCATGGTATGGTAGTTAATCAGCTTGTGACAGTGGCATTTCCAAATCAGAGCACTGGTTTGAGTCCTGGTTGTTCCATTTGCAATCCAGAATTCTGCCTGTGTGCCTGGGAAGGCTGCGGAAGATGGTCCAGGTGCTTGGATTCCCGCCACCCAATGTGGCACACCGGGACAGGGTTCTGGGCTCGTGGTTTTAGCCTGGCCCAGGCCCAGCCACTTCTGGAGTGGACTAGCAGGTGCAAGATCTGTTCCTTTGCCTCTGAAATAAGTGACCCTTTAAAAGTTTAATCAACTTAAAATAACTTAAAATATTTTCCATTAAAATGATTTTTTATTTTGGTAGGACTACGTATCAACTTGTAAAAATAATAAGTACACTAGGTTTGTGAGACTTCAAGCAGCCAAATAGAGCAGGCTATTTTATGAATATGTTTGAGTGGACGGTAAAATAATAACAGCTTACATGTTACATATGCTAGGTTAAGTGGTTATCATTTCTCTTGATTCTTTTAGAAAGGCTGATGTGGTGCCAGTGTCCTGCATTGAACTTCTGCTGGACAGGCTGCCCTGAGGGGAAGTCTTTTGCCTTTAGCTGCTGAATTCAGTTCTTGCGAGGAGGGGCCTGGCAGGAGGGGTGAGGGGGCGAGGGACGGAGTTCGCAGGAAGGCAGGATGAAGATGGGCGGTGAGAGTATGACATGCATGCCCCCGCCCCGCCCTCTTGGCTGAGATCACATTTAGGAAATGTTCTCATTTAGGGAAAAGAGAACATGAGAGAACACGGGATCTCGGTCACTTTCTGGCTGGTGGTCTGAGTGAGACTGGCAGGATGTGCTTCCTCCAGCGCCTCTGCCCACTTGGCTGTGTTTCCTGAGCTTTCTCACCCCATTGCAGCCCCTCCTGGAGGCGTTGCCTGGCGACCAATTAATGGCATTAGGAATCTGCCCACTAATGTCTCCCCTCCAGCAAAGTGTGGATAGGATCTCTCGCTTGGCTCAGCCCTTTAACCAGGAGCCAGATTGCTTTGTTTACTGCATGGAAGCCTCTCCCACCGCTCCCTCTGTTATCCTGGTCTTTTTAATCCTATCACTCTTGTCCAATTTTCTTGTGTAGTTTAGTAATCAGATATTTACCTCATGCTTTTCTTTCACGAAATTAACAGTGCATAACTAATAGTATGCTAATACCCCTTTTTAGTGGTGTGAGAATCAGTTGTCCAGGACCCGTTTTTGAGTTTTGCTGTTGCTTTAAAGAAGACCCTAAACACTCTAAATTCCTTGGGGCGGGGGCAGAACTTTTTTGTTCTCTTCTTTGAGCAGTGGTTAGCTGCACGGAGAGTGCTGGGAGCGTGCTGGACGCAGAGCCCGGGTTCAGCAACTATCTGATTGGATTTGATGTTTATTACGTTTGTAGAATGCTGGCGGCTGGAGGCGCAGGCCTGCAGGATGGGGGGGGGGGGGGGGGCCAGATTCAGAAATGTGGATTTTCCTCCTCAGAGAACCCTTCCCGCCCCCGCCCCGGAGAGCGGGTCTAGTTTCTGGAAATTCAGGTTTGCTTCCTCCTAGGTGAGATGAGAATGTGACAAGAAGTAAAACCAAACACGGGCCCCCGGTTTTTCTAGGGATTGATTTTAAAATTTTTTTCCTTTTCTAGTCAATAGTCAAAGTTTATTAGTGGCATCAGGCTTTTATAGACCGAGGGTCACATAGGGCAGCGGAGGGGGCAGTGAGAAGTGTACAAACTCTACAGAACCCATCAATCGTTTTCACATCCTTGTCTGAAAATCTCTTTGTTTTGTTGCCATAATGCTATCCAATATGTTGTTCTCATACAACTGATATCCACTCATTTGTCTTCAATTTTCAGAGGTTCATGTCCAAGATGAGATGACCGCATTGCCTTGACCACTGAGAAGTGGCCGACTGATGGCGGTGCTGGGGTTGTATGTTGGCGTGAGGACTCACCTTTTTTCCTTTTGAGCTATTCTTTTTTCCCTTTAAGACAGCCAGTTGGGCCATGGCATAGTAGCTTAAGCTTCAGCCTGAGGTACAGGCATCCTAATTGAGCCAGTTCAAGTCCTGGTTGCTTCATTTTCTGTCTTTTTTTCAAAGATTTATTTTTATTGGAAAGACATTTACAGAGAGAGAGAGTTTGCACTCGCTGGTTCACTCCCCATGTGACTGCAGTGGCTGGAGCTGAGCTTATCCAAAGCCAGGAGCCAGGAGCTTCTTCTGGGTCTCACGCAGGTGCAGGGTCCCAAGGCTTTGGGCCGTCCTCGATTGCTTTCCCCGGCCACAAGCAGGGAGCTGGATGGCAAATGGAGCAGCTGGGAAGGGAACTAGTGCCCATCTGGGATCCTGGCTCATGCAAGGCGAGGATTTAGCCACTGAGCCATCGTGCTGGGTCCCTCACAGCTCCATTTTCAATCTAGTTGCTTGCTCTTGTGCCCAGGAAACAGCGGAGGATGATTCAAGTTTGGTCCCCTGCTCCCACCCCGTGGTCCTGGAAGAAGCTCCAGGCTCCAGCTCCAGGCTTTGACTAGCCCTGCTTTGGCCTTTGGGACCATCTGGGAAACGAACTAGCTGATGGAAGATCTTTCTCTTTTGTCTCTCCGCTTTCTGTAAATCTGCCTTTCAAATAAATAGGTAACTTGTTTAAACAATAATAATTAAAAAAAAAAACCCAGCAGACTCAGCTTACAGTCAAAGTATGGTTGACACATTTGCAGGATTATTAATGATTTTTTGCTTTCCCTCCTTTGAGCAACTTCAAACCTGAGGGTAGCACTTGTTCGGCTGTACCCTGTGTGAATAGAGTTATTCTCACTTCTCTGTAGAAAAGAGAAAGAAGTAGTGAATTTGCCCTCCCTCCAGGTTTTTCTGGTAGCATTTTGTCTGTGAAACTAAGAGGCTGCTGCTCTGAGAGGAGGGAAGGAGTAGGGATGAGCAGAAGAAAAAAAGAAAAACAACAGGGTGGAGAGATTGGCAGGATGTGGTATTTATGGGGAATAGAGGAGTTCTTGCCTGCCAAGGGTGGAGCCGCGGGGCGGGTCGGAGCTCCGTAATTCTGATAATCAGAAAGGTCACCGACTCTTCGGGGGTGGCTGGGGGTGGGGCTCAGGGGCCAGTCACGCCCGCAGGCGCCGCCCTCTGCGGAGATTATAAATGGGAAGGACCCGAGCCGCTCCAGGGATGCTGTCAGGGCCGGCGAGCCTGCCCTAGGAGCTCTCGCGACCTGAGACCGGAGACGCAGCCGGGGAGGTCCTCGGCGGGGAGGCTGTGCTGTGTCTGGGGGGCCCCTCTGAGCCCCACATCCAGAGCTTCTCTAGAGGGTCTGGGAGGAGAAGACTGCGCCATGGAGCGGCCCAAGGTAAGGCAGGAGCAGCGGCTTCCCGGCCACGTCTCCGCGGGGGACAGCCCGTGTGGGGGCGAAGGCCGTGTAAGCCGTCGGGCGCGGGGTCTCCGCCGGCCCCGGGCGATCGCGGATGATGAGGAAGGCCGCCCACTCCTCACCTCGGGGCGCGCCGTGTGGACGCAGCGCAGTGTGGGACGCAGCGCAGTGGCACCGGGACGGGCTGGGGAGACCCCCAGTCGTGCGAGCGCAGCAAGGGCTGATGTGTGATGCAGGCGGTGTGTGGGAGGAAAGGCATTTCTCACTGGAATAGAATGTGTGTGGAGACGAAGCAAGAGAAGGGGTTGGGGGTGGGCGGCTGGGGGGGCCGAGCGGAGGGCCAGAAACAGCCAGTCCGGAAAGGCCCTGACGCCGGTAGGTGGGTGACGCGCGGCAAGGGGGATTGCTAGAACAGGACTTTCCGAATAGAGCTTCGGATGCTCGGCCCGCAGTGAGGATGGAGAGAGCTGCGAGGCTCCGACAAGGTCAGCTCTCCCGAAGCTGCTGCCTGCCTGGGAAACCTGGGAAGGGATGGGTGGGGTAGGGGTCGGGAACCTGCCGGAGCCACAGAGGGTCGCCTCAAGGCGTCAAGTGAGCTGCCCCATGGTGTAAATTATTCGCATTCCTGGCAAGATGGGATGACCCCTGGGCTTCCCCGCCCTGTAGTGGTGGAGACCAGCGGGTGGCAGGCCCCTGCAGGGCGAAGCCTCCAACTGCAGCCTGTGGTTCTCAAAGGCAGCCCCCTGCCCCCCAGCACCCACGGGACATTTTTTCAGGGCCGGCGCAATGACTGGCTAAATCCTCCCCTTGCAAGTGCCAGGATCCCATATGGCCGCTGGTTTGTGTCCCAGCTGCTCCACTTGCCATCCAGCTCCCTGCAAGCCTTGGGACCCTGCACCGGCGTGGGAGCCCGGGAGAAGGCTTCTGGCTCCTGACTTCGGATCAGCTCAACTCTGGCAGAGTGAATCGGTGGACGGAAGATCTTTCTGTCTCTCCTCTCTGTAAATCTTTCTTTCCAATAAATAAATAAATACATTTTTAAAAGATGTATTCAGGAAGGAAGAGGCATGCAGTGAACCATCTACTGATTCACTCCCTGAATGGCCTCAGTGCTGGACGTTGGGCCAGACCAGAGCTGGGAGCCCGGCGCTCCGGCCAGGGCTCAGCGTGGTGCTGTTTGGTGCTTTCAGAGGCGCATGGGGAGGGAGCTGGATTGGAAAGTGGAGCAGCAGGGGCTCAGCGTGTCAGCGGGCAGCTGCCTTTTTCTCTGCCTCCCACTTGAGCGCGTTTCTGCTTGCATAGACCTGGTGCAGTTTGAGTCATTTCGCCCTTACCTCGTTGGGTTTCTGAGACTGGCATGGATCAAAGGTTGAAAGGGGCTTTTCTCCCCTCTTTTCCCCTCAGGTCACCCCGTACCTCATCTTTGCCACCAGTATCGCCGCCATCGGCTCTTTCCAGTTTGGCTACAACACTGGAGTTATCAACGCTCCCGAGAGGGTGAGTACCAGCAGAGAACTGGGGTCTGGAACCAGGAGTGTTACTAGTGTAAGTAGAGCTTCAAGAATTCAAAATTAGGGCCCGGTGTGATGGCGCAGTGGTTGGGACCCTGCACCTGTGTGGGAGACCCGGAGGGGGCTCCTGGCTTCGGATCGGCATAGCATCGGCCGCTGCACTCACCTGGGGAGTGAATCATCGGATGGAGGATCTTCCTCTCTGTCTCTCCTCTCTGTGTATCCGCCTTTCCAATAAAAAATAAATCTAAAAAAAAAAAAAGAATTCAGAATTAAAGAGAAGCTAATACATTGCTAGGGAAGTAAAAGGATCAAACATTTAGTAGCTGCAGCCTAGTCCTCATAACCCTCCTCACCGCTTGCTCAAGGTTCCAGCTTTAATGCTCTGCAGTTCTTCCAAGGAAGGCGCTGGGCTAGACAGGGAGCAGCAGTGCTGCCACCTACTGGGAGTTTCAGGATTTTCAGAGCTAGTAACTACCTCCCTAAACACTGCATTTCTTCCATGGCACCTAATTCTCTGCCACGATCCTCTGCCCGGAAGCATAGAGCTCTGCTTGTAAGAGGAAGCATTTCCTCATTTGTCTTTATCAGGCTGTATCTGGCTGGCCTCCCTACACTTCATTTTCTATTCCAGATCATAAGGGACTTTATCAACTACACTTTGGATGAGAAGTTAGAAGAACCTCCCAGCCCTTTTCTGCTCACAAATCTGTGGTCCTTGTCCGTGGCCATCTTCTCCGTGGGCGGCATGATTGGCTCATTTTCCGTGGGACTCTTTGTCAACCGCTTTGGCAGGTATTGGTCAGCAAGGGGACAGGGGAGCAGGCCCTACCAGCTGGGCTGAGGACAAGTGTGGAAAACGAGGGCAAACCGGGGTGGGTAATGAATTTGAAATTCTCACAGAGGGAAACCTGGCCAGGCTGGCATGGATAGAACAGTCCTTGCTTGTAGCATCTGATTACCTGGGGGGCTTTCCTTCAGGCTCAGACAAGGCAGAGAGCCTGGTGTGATGGCTCCCCTTGCATGCCTGGGATCCCATATGGTCACTGGTTCGTGTCCTGGCTTCTCCACTTCCTATCCAGCTCCCTGCTTGTGGCCTGGGAAAGCATTCGAGGACAGCCCAAAGCCTTGGGAACCTGCACCTGCGTGGCAGACCTGCAGGAAGTTCTTGGCTGCTGGCTTAGGATCAGCTCAGCTCCAGCTGTTATAGTCACTCTGGAAGTGAATCGGCAGATGGAAGATCTTTCTGCCTCTCCTCTCTGTAGATCTGCCTTTCCAATAAATAAATTTCTTTTAAGGCAGAATAACAAACAGTGAGAGACAGATTTAAAAAAAAAAAAAAACTTTTATTTTATTTGAAAAGGTTATAAAGGTGGAGCAGGATGGGGAATGGATCAGAAAAACATGTTCTATCTGCTGGGTCAGCTCTCCAAGTGGCTGCAATGCCCGGGGCTGGCAGGGAGCGAGGTACTTGGGCCATATTCCTCTGCATTTTCAGGTATACTTAGCAGGGAGCTGGGACTCAACACTAGTACTCCTGGGATGCATTGTCACAGGTGCTGGTTTAACCCACTGGCTACAACACTACCCCCCCCAAAAAAATTTTTTTTAAATTTTAACAAGAGTATACTCAGGGGCCTGGAGAAAAGCAGAGGAATGAGGGGCGATGCGGACTCTGCCTGTGTTTGCCTCACATTGTCTTTGCTTGACTCCCCAGGCGCAATTCAATGCTGATCGTCAACCTGCTGGCTGTCATCGGCGGCTGCCTCATGGGGTTCTGTAAGACGGCCGAGTCGGTGGAGATGCTGATCCTGGGCCGCCTGGTGATTGGTGTCTTCTGCGGGCTCTGCACGGGTTTTGTGCCCATGTACATTGGGGAGATTTCGCCCACTTCCCTGCGCGGGGCCTTTGGGACCCTCAACCAGCTGGGCATCGTGGTCGGGATCCTGGTGGCTCAGGTACGAAGCCCTCAGACCTGAGGAGTGTTGAAGTGCGCTGGGGGCCTGCCGGAGGGGGCTGACGGCCTCGGCTCTGCTGGGGCCTGCCGGAGGGGGCTGACGGCCTCGGCTCTGCTGGGGCCCGGCCAAGGGGGCTGACGGCCTTGGCTCTGTTTCTAGATCTTCGGCCTGGAGGCCATCCTGGGGTCTGAAGAGCTGTGGCCTGTGCTCCTGGGCTTCACCATCATCCCTGCCATCCTCCAGAGCGCGGCTCTCCCGTTTTGCCCCGAAAGCCCCAGGTTCCTGCTCATTAACAGACAGGAAGAAGACAGCGCTAAGATGGGTGAGTGTCTCATTTCTTTCTCTCCCTGGCCGGAGGAGCTTCCGGGCCATGAACGTTAGAGCAACTTTCTTTTCTCATTCCCTTTTTCCATGCGAAGAATTTTCAGGTTCCTCTCAAGCCAGTCTTGAGCCACGAAAGGATGAATTCAGAAGGCAGCTGAAAGCGCAGCTGCTCGTCCCCCTCAGTGCCTGGGAGGGCCTGAAGCCGCTGGAGCTAGCACTGACCTTTAACCCTTTTCTTTGCTGCAGTCCTCCAGCGGCTGTGGGGCACCCAGGATGTGGCCCAGGACATCCAGGAGATGAAAGAGGAGAGCATCCGGATGTCACAGGAGAAGCAGGTCACGGTGCTGGAGCTCTTCCGGTCCCCCAGCTACCGCCAGCCCATCATCATCTCCATCGTGCTGCAGCTCTCCCAGCAGCTGTCCGGGATCAATGCTGTGAGTACCCGCTGGGGGTAGGGGTGCTGCAACCTGCAGTACGTTGCCTGAAATCCGCCCCCCTCCTCAGTTAGGCTGGAGCCCTGTGAGGGCTGCTCAGCTGAGATGGTCTTCAAGAAGTTCCTAAAAATGCAAGTTGAGCAAAAACTTTAGGTTTCAAAATGTTTTGGCCCTGAAATGAACTTGGCTTCCTTTTTTCCCCCTAACATTTATTTATTTGTTCGAAAAGCAAGAGTTAGAGAGGGGAGGGAGAGGAGATCTGCCACCTGCTGATTCACTCCCCGAATGACCACAACAGCCGGAGCTGTGCTGATCCGAATGCAGGAGCCAGGAACTTCCTTCCAGGCTCTCCCACTTGGGTTCAGGAGTCCCAAGGCTCTTGGGCCGTCCTCTGCTGCTTTCTCAGGCCATTCTAAGCAGGGAGCTGGAAGGGAAATGGAACAGACAGGACTAGAACTAGTGCCCATATGGGATGCTGGCGCTTCAAGGCATAGGATTAACAGTGAGTCCCTGTGAGATCCTGTCTCACATACACATCTTATGTAGAGGAAATCACGAGACCGTGTAATGGAGAAGGTAAGTCATCTGCAGTCCGGAGGCTGATGGCTACCATTTGTATTCTTCCAGGCTTCTTTTTTTCTCCAGTAGACAGGCCTCACTTTTTCATGTCATTTTTTTAGAGCTCTCATCCTTTTCTGTCTTCTGTGAGCGAGTCAGTGATAAAGTAGGCCGCACAGCCCAAGTCAATGCTAACATTTCTGCATCTTGGCTTTTTTCCCAGAATGTCGTCATGTAAGATCAGCAGACAGCCTGGAGGCTGTTTTGTGATCATTTAGAGTATGAGGAGGTGGGAGGCAGAAGGGAGCTAGGCCTGGGCAGGCCGCCCCTGCATGCTGTGCGCGGAAGCCTTGCTCTCCTGCTGTTTAACCAGGAGAGCTTTGGTACATTTCATCCATTTTTGCATGTGACACTTGTCAATGCTGAGCCCCCGCCCAGCCTCTTTAAATGCTGACCTGTGCCCTGCGGCTTGCCACCAGCCTTTAAGCAACATGATTACATGAGCTTACAAGAAAGCATTTTGCAAGGAGCTTGTTGCTCAAAATAGAGTGAGTTGGCGTTTGGCCTTTTCTCCTGCACCTCCGACACTTACAGGAGCAGTGTCCCTCCTGAGGGTCAGCGCTCTGGCTGAGCAGAGATCGTTGGGAAGAGTCTCCTAAATGACTTTCTATTTGAAAGGCAAAGCAACAGAGAGGGAGGGAGGGAGAGATAGAAAGACTTCCTCCATCTTCTGGCTGATCCAGGCTGGAGCCAGGGCCTGTCGTTCATCCGGGTCTGCCTTGTGAGCCGAGTGAGGCCTAAAGATTAGTACCTTGGGGCCGGTGCTGGGACATAGCAGGTGAAGCACCAAATGAGACGTGTGCTCCACTTCTGATCCAGCTCCCTCCTAACACCCCCGGGAAGGCAGTAGAGCCTGGCCCAGGTCCTTGGGCCCCTGTATCCACGTGGCTCTTGGTCTTGAACTGACCCAGCCCCAGCTGTTGAGGCCACTTGGGGAATGGGAGATCTCGGTCTTACCTTTTGTGTCTCTATAACTCTTATCTTTCAAATAAATAATTATTTTAAAAAGATAGTGCCTCATGCAGTGTGCAAGACCTTGCTTTTGCAATCCTCGCACAGTCCTGGACCATCAAGGCAGGATCAGAAAAGCAGTGCAGATGATGGAAGGAGCCTGCAGAATGGGCACAGTCACTGCTCATTGCTGGACTGAGGCTCCCAGCCTGGCACATGGGCATAGCCCTACCCCAAGGTAGCAGCCTGACATTGCAGGATGGAATTCAACCTGCTGGACCAGGAATCTCATAAGGGGCCTGGCCAGTGTTGTGGTACAACAGGTTAACCCTCCGCCTGGGAGTGAGGTTTGCATCCTGAGTGCTCTTTCTGATCCTGCTCCCACGTGGGAGATGTTGATGACTGGGCTCCTGGTTTCAGCCTGCCTTCGTTCATGATGACGTCCTGTGCCTGTTAGAGTTGGAGGAACTGTCCCATCAGAAAAGCAGTCCCCGGGACTTGAACCTTCACACACACCGATGAAGTAGGCACAAGGAAGACTGAGCAGTGCAGTAGGAAATCAGAGAAAAAGGTGGAACTGAGTGGTTGCAGGAGGAATGTCTTGGAAGCCAGCTCTTACAGGAAGCCCCTGCCTTCTGTGGGCTGTGCAGTATCTTTCAGTTCTCTTCAACTGAGCATGCGTGCCTGAATCCAAACTGCCTCTTGCCTTCCTTAGGTGTTCTACTACTCGACAGGGATCTTCAAGGACGCGGGGGTCCAGGAGCCCATCTACGCCACCATCGGCGCGGGGGTGGTTAACACCGTCTTCACCGTGGTCTCTGTAGGTTGAAGGATTCGATGTATTTTGGGGTCAGGGTGGGGAAGAAAGGAGGAATTCTTGCTACCAGTATTTGAAAATGCATATCCTTTGATCTCCCTCTGTTCAATTGGTGACACCTTTTTTGCTAATTTCCTTTATATGGAAAAAGAAGATGTACTGAATATGTGGGTATATGTGGTTGTCACTACGTAAAGATGAAATTGAAAGGAAAAGGGGAAGGTGGAGGAGGATTTTATAGGATACTTTAAACTTGGAGATGGGAAAGGGGGAGGCATGACCAAAACAAGAATCCAGCTGTATTAAGACAGCTTGTCAGTAGCTTCTATCGTGAAGAAAGCAAGCAAAGTTGTACGTTCTGCTGTTGTAGGTGTTTCTGGTGGAAAGAGCCGGGAGGAGGACTCTGCACCTGATAGGCCTTGGAGGCATGGCTGTCTGTTCGGTCCTCATGACTATTTCTTTACAACTAAAGGTGAGTGCTTTAGAGTGCGGGTGCGCAGGGGAGGAGAGCGGTGACACGGCCCCACATGGAGGTCACTGATTTCAAAGTTAAGAGAAGTACGCTACCTGGAGTTCAAAGAAAAGTGGCCCATTAGCACTGTGGCTTGTAAAATCCATCTACATTAATTTCTAAGGCAATCCCACTTTATAGAGGAAATGGTCTCAGTGCAAACAGGATGTGGGAGATCACAATGTGGATTCAAGGACCCAAGGGTTTTGACACTGAGTCCAGCAACTGCATCGTCCCACAAGGCAGCTGGCTCACTTTGTGTCACTCACCCTTGGGCTGGGAGTTCCCAGGCTCGAGCTGTCCATAACTGACCCTTTTTTTTTTTTTTACAGGATGCGTATAATTTCATGAGCTTAGTCTGTATTGCCGCTATCTTGATCTACGTGGCTTTCTTTGAAATTGGACCGGGCCCCATCCCCTGGTTTATTGTGGCTGAACTCTTTAGCCAGGGACCACGCCCAGCTGCAATGGCGGTGGCTGGTTGCTCCAATTGGACCTCCAACTTCTTGGTTGGACTGCTGTTCCCCACAGCTGCAGTAAGTAGCTTCTCCTGAAGGCCGCCTAAGCCGGCATGCTTATGACATGCATTAATAATAGTTACTCAGGGAAGAACAGGTTATCAAGTATTTTCTAAACACTTACTTTGATTTGAAACGCAGAATTATAGACAAGGAGAGAAAATGAGATGTTCCATCTGCTGGTTCACTCCCCAAATGGCTGCAGGGACCCAAGTCCCTGGGCCATCCTCCATTGCTTTCCCAGGTCGTAAGCAGAAAGGGGAGCAGTCAGGGCTCAAACCAGCACCCACATGGGTTGCAGCACCCACATGCTGCAGGCAAATGATTAAGTTACTGTGCTGCAGTGCTGGTCCAAAAGATGAATATTTGAAAAGGAGCTACAGAGAAGGAAGCATGGATAGATTCGATCCACTGGTTCAATTCCCAGAAAGCCAGACTGAAGTCGGGAGCCATTAGTTTCTTCCTGGTCTCTCCGGGGTTGAACAGGCCCAAGCATTTGGGTCTTGTTGTTCTCTGCCCTCCCAGCACGCGTGCAGGGAGCTGGGTGTGGAGCCGCAGGACAAGAGCTAGCACCCATGTGGGTTACTGGCACTGCGTGCTGCTGTATGTGCTGCACCATGCCAGCGTTTAGCTCCCAAGCCTAAACCCGATTTTACCCCTCAAGTAAAAAACACAAGGCGGGGGGGACGAAGGTGGGGGAGGGATAAAACTGCAGATTTGTACATTAAGGACCCCTAGCCTGAGAAGGGGAAGGGATGGTTTGCCCAGGTACAGAACATCAGTGTTAAGACTCAGCATTCCAGCCCAACCCCCAAATCTATTTGGAAGTGGTATTAATGACCCTCTGCAAGCTTAGGGTGTCAACAGATCAGGTATGTTCTGTTACAGAATGACCTGCAGCTAATTGCTCGAGAAAGCGGTCTGACTAGACATCAGGAATGCATTTCCTATTCCCAGGAGTCTTCAGAAACCCCTAGGATAACATTTGTTAAATACATACATACATACGATTACAAACACAATTGTTATTGTTGAAAGTTGTTAATGTGAAAAATGGCAGTGGTACAATTGTTAGGTTGTTACAAATGCAATCAGGAAATTCCTGAGATGCTCTAAGTGCTCAGTAAGCAGCCGCTCAGTGGTGATTACCAAGGGGCGGCCCGGCAAAGGGTAGCAGGTGGGCAGAGCGCCACGTCCGTCAGCAGCACAGACGGGGAGTTACCCGATCGGCCGCAGAGTTTCCTAACGGCTGCTTTGTTCCTCCCTTAGCACTATTTAGGTGCCCATGTTTTCATCATCTTCGCTGTCTTTCTCGTCCTCTTCTTCATCTTCACCTTCTTCAAAGTTCCTGAGACCCGAGGCAGGACTTTTGAGGATATCACACAGGCCTTTGAGGGGCAGGCTGTGGAGACCAACAAGTTAGGGAAGAGCTCCGGGATGGAGATGAACAGCGTCCAGCCCACCGAGACCACCACACACGTCTAGGGCGCGCCTCCCTCCGCCTCCCTCCCGACACTCGGAACAGGAACCTCTCCCGGCTCGGGGAGACCTCATCAGGACGGACCAGGACTGCTTCTGGATGCTGCTACTTGATCGCTTCTTCATCCCACATACCCGCAGGCATCGGATGAGCCCCTTGCTGGGGGAGTTGGCTCTCAATGGCTTTTTGTTGGTCAGTGAACCTACCTTCAGGTGGGAGCGGCTGCTTGGCGGGTGACAGCTCTGCCAGCCCACCCTCCCTTAGGTTCTGACACTGTCAGGGCACATGGGGAGGTGAGTTAGGGCGCAGCTTCCCCAACCTCAGCGTAACTGAAAGCAGACAGCCGGGAGGGTGTGGGTGGCTGAGGAGGGGATCAGCTGACCCCCTCAGAATCCTTCCTCTCCTGTACAGCTCTACACAGCAAAGGAACTTGAGTTTATTTATTTTACCTTCCGGTTTTATTGCATAAATATTTATTTTTTTAAGTGTGAAGTAATTTTACCAAAGAATGCAAGGAAATTCAGGTCAAAGGGAGGCATTTGAAGAGGGGTTGTAGCATAGGAGACGACGCTGGAGTGGTCGGGGCGTAACCAGCGGGGAGGATTTCGGGGGAGAAATGAATTTTTGAAAGCTGAAAGAGGCAGTGGTACCCGAGGTGTGCGTGTCGCCTCTCAGCAGTTTCTGTCTTTAGGGCATAAAGGAAGCGCCTATGTTTATTTCTGGGAAAGGTTATGTGCCTGTTTAAAGCTCCTGGTTTCCCTTCTATACTGTTATAGTTTATACACACACACATATGTACACATAGTGTTACTTGAAACCTAGGATTGTTACTAAGATAGTGTTGTAGTTAATGGTGGGTGATGGGTTCTAATTTTGCTTGGAGTCCAGAGGAGGAAGTTGATTTGTAGAAAACTCCACCACCCCTCGCTGGACCAAATAACTTCCTTCCCTTGTGGTGGTTAGAGCCATCCCACTACCCAGCTGGGAGAGAAGCCCCCAGCTGAGAAACCCGAAACGTTGCTTCAGTGGTCTGGGGTTTCTCCACTTTGTTTCGTAGGAGATTTTAGGTGTTGGTTTTTATTTTGTTTCAACCTGTAGCTTTAAAAGAGTACAGGGATGGAGTTTGAGATTGTTCCTAAGCAGTGTAGAAGCTGTGGGAGAATTTTCCTGAGTGATTATTTACCCAGTCTAAGTGTTTTCGTTGTTCAGGGTCATGGCATGCTTGTCTGTCTTACCATGTCCAGGTACACCTGTTAGCATGTTGTAGTGATGCTGTGTCAGGTGCCCTCTGGGGACTTCCATCTTCAAGAGTATGAGTGGAGGTGCAGTGGAGCCCACACTGAGCATGAATGTATGCACTGTCACTTTGCTCTGGCTGGAAGTAGTATACTGTTGATTTGTTTTCTTTATTCCCATAGCCCTCTTTTGGATAGAATATACTTTAAAAAACAAACAAACCTTCACTTCTTCCCATGTAAATAACACTGCTTCTGCTGGGTGGAGCTTGCATCCAGAAATCTGGCTCATGACTACCATTTTCTGTTGAAGTTGGTGGGATGGAGAGGGAAAGGTGATCAGGGCATTTGACCTTTGGAGGAGCCGGGGAGAGATGGGACATCCCTCGAAAGGGAGAAGAAATGAATGGCAGAAGGAGCGGCTGGCTTCTCTAGGGCGATGGCTGTCCCGCCCCAGGTCTTGCTTCCTGCGGCATCACCTGGTCTCCCCAGAACCTCACATTCAGACTGGGCCCTGGCCACACCCTCCCTCCCCTCCCTCTCCTTGGTGCTCACACATTTCAGACCCCTTAGCAAGACCCATGCAGGTGACAGTGTTGGAGTTTTCGTCCTTCCCTCTGGTCATTTGAGCCTTTGGATGAAAACTCGCTTGGCTTGGAGGGCTGGGGTGTTGTTGGGAAGGGCGACCTTCCTCTGACTGCACCTCTACTTCCGGCTCTTGAGACAGTTGGTTGGCAGTAATGTCAGGTGGAGTTTCCTTCCCCCATATCTCAGTGACCAGGCTGTGAATATTTCCATATGAATTTTTCTATTATTGATGTTTCTGTGGTTGTTTTGAAATAAAATTTCTAAAAGTATGTATGGCAGAGACTCTGTTTTAAATCCTAGGCTTGGTATGGGACATAGGGCACAGTATATATGAATATTAAGGCACTGCTGGGGACAGTCTACATGACATACTGGAGTGCTTGATCTTGCCCAACCCTGGCATTTTGGGAAGAAACCAGCAGAAGGAAGATTGCTCTGTCTGCTTAATACCTTTAAGATGGTGTGAGAGTAACTTATAATCCTGTCATGCCTATACAGTAGCTGTTAGGAGTTTGGACAAGGTTCCTTTTTACTTTTTTTTTTTTTAAATCTATTATTGGAAAGTCAGATATACAGAGGGGAGGAGAGACAGATCTTCATCCAATGATTCACACCCCAAGTGGCTGCAACATCCCGAGATGAGCTGATCTGAAGCCAGGGGCTTCTTCTGGGTCTCCCACGCGGGTGCAGGGACCCAAGGCTTTGGCCCGTCCTCGACTGCTTTCCCAGGCCACAAGCAAGGAAGGACCAACGCAAAGGGGGAGCTTCCTCTGCTCTCATCACCCCAAGGGTTAGAGGTTTCTGAAGAAAGTAGAGATGCAGTCCGTTCAAAATGCAAGGGCTGCTCCAGGCGACCACTGCTCTGCAGTCTGGGAACAGCTGGCGGCCAGCCAAGCAGGTATGGGATGGGGGAGAGGCCTGCTGGGTGGTGTCCCAGTGAAGGTGGCCTCTAGGTCAGGGCACTACTCGATGTCACTGCTCGCCTGTGGAGCAGCCACTGTAGCCAACTAGAGATTCTACCTTGGTCACGATAAATGCTCTTATTCCAGTATTATATGTATATTATTCCACACACCATTCACTGTCATCATGGAAAAAACAAAATTTATCCAGGAACAAAGCCATTGCCAGTCTCACCCCCAAATATCTGCCTGCCTTCAACTGTCCAGGGAGCAAAACTGCAGACCCTGCAGGAGGTGGGAGCCACCCAGGGGTCTCCTGTGAGACATCTGTGCTGGGCGAACCCAAGCAGCTCAGGATCCTGTGATGCTGTGTTGTTCGTCTCTCACTAAGCCGCTTCTTTGACATGCCTGAACCCAGCAAATCTTCAAACGCGGGTAAGTGCTAGCAGTTCTGTGACCTAACTGATAGAACTGAACCGTCAGAATTGGGACTGATTTCAGAACTCAAATATAGTTCATTGTTTTCCCAAAGAATCACGGGCATGGCTGGAATAGCCTTTTTATCTCTTGATCAAATGCTCAGGTAGTGAGCTTACACAAAGGAGCCAAGGTGTAAGGGTTTTGAAGGAATCCATCCCTGACTCACAATCCCCAAACGCCCACAATAGCTGAGGTTGGGCCGGGCTGGAACCGGGAGCCTGTGACATTTAGCCCCAGTCCAGTCTGAAGGCAGGAGCTGGAACTGTGCCGGGCAGGGAGCAGCAGGTGCAGAGGCCCAAACACTTGAGCCATTGTCTGCTGTCTCCCAGTGGCTCCGCTAATTAGTAGGGGGCTGACATGAGAAGCAGACATTTGCTATGAGGCTGTGGTCTTCATCCACTGCTCGCTCTTACCATAGTGCTTCCAAGGTTCACACATGTTACACTGTGTGTTGCTAACCCAGTTGCCTGTGCATGGATACAGGCGGTTTGCAGTTTAAAGTCAGTGTACACTATGTAGTTATGTGTGTGGACACAGGGTTTCATTTCCCTTGGGTACTATGCATTGGAATAGAACTACTGAGTCATAAAATCTCTCTTAAAAAAAAAAAGATGTATTTTTACTGGAAAGTCAGATATACAGAGAGGAGAGACAAAGAGGAAGATGTTCCATCCACTGACTCACTCTCCAAGTGACCGCAACAGCTGGAGCTGAGCTGATCTGAAACCAGGAGCCAGGAGCCTCTTCCGTGTCTCACATGCAGGTGTAGGGTCCTAAGGTTTTGGGTCATCCTTAACTGCCCTCCCAGGCCACAAGCAGGGAGCTGGATTAGAACCAGTGCCCATATGGGATCCTGGCATGTTGAAGGCGAGGACTTTCGCTGCTAGGCCACCAAGCTGGGGCCTTCTCTTCCTTTTTTTAAAAAATGGGAGTCTCAGGATTGAGGTGCCTGGCAGATGCGGTGATCTCCCTGCAGCGCACAGTTTGGGTAACTGCAGATAACTGAGTTGCAGAAATGAGATTCACCAGCATGACCTAGATTCATCGGGGACGCAAACACGTGGCTTGTCAAGAAGAGAGGGAGAGAAGGGTGGGAGCTGAGGAAGCCCTGGCTTCTGGGTGGGCTCGGGAACACCCACGGGACGGAACTGCAGCCCCGCTGCGATCAGTTCCTGGAAATAAAATGCTGTTTGCAAAATTACGAACTCCCAGGATCTTGGCTCATGGGGCGCCCAAGGGAGGGCAAGGCAACCATAAGCAAAGCACACAATCCCTTGATGACTGAGTCTGCGGTCGCTAAAACAACAGTAGAAGAGAATGTTGGGGTGGATTCTTGCACTGAGCCAAGCTTGGATTCTGGCCAGCTTCTGGCCTCCAGGCCTCCACAAACAGGTAGAAGTTCAAGAAATTCTTGGGGTGGATCCAGACACAGGGCCAAGCTTGGATTCTGGCCAGCTGGAACCACAGCCTTTGGCCCCAGGCACCCAACAAATAGGTACAAGTTGAAATGAAAAAGAAAAGCAATTGGAATGGTTCCTGACACTAGGCCAAGCTTGGATCTTGGCCCATCCCAGCTATAACCAGCACGTGGCCTCAGGGCCTCAGCAAAGGATCACATTGGAATGAATCCCAACACGGGACCAAGCTTGGGTTCCTGCAAGCCTGTAACTACCCTGATCTGCTTCCAAATGGAAAAATTATGCTGAAACAGCAAATAGTAAAGATTGGAATAACATGGGCGTATGGGAAAAAATAAGGGGTTAGGAGAATGAAGAGAATGAAGAAACTCATCAGGACAATCTAAGGAATTTTTTTCAAAATGGGATCTCAGAGCAAATATACAGTAATATAACAATGTACTGTACAGTTTTACATTTAAATAAAACACCTAGATATAGGGTTTTGGATGTTAATGCCTTAAAGAGATGGTAAATGTTAGAGATATATTTATTCTAATTATCATACATTACACAATATATATGTATATTGAAACATCGCATGGTACCCCATAAATATGTGCACTTTAAATGTCAAACCCCAGGCAGGCACAACAGTTGGGCAGGCCAGGTCAAAGCCAGGAGCTCCAGCCAGGTATCCCATGTGGGTACAGGGGCCCAAAGACTTGGGCTATCTTTTGCTTCTTTCCCAGGTGCATCAGTAGGGAGCTGGGACAGGAACCAGTGCCAATGTGGGATGCCCGCATGGCAATCCGTGGCTTTACCATCTACGCCACAACACTGGTCCTGACTTATCACATTCTTTAAAAGTTAATCCAGTTGGGCCCAGGGCAGTAGCCCATTGGCTAAAGTCCTTGCCTCGCACACGCCGGGATCCCATATGGGTGCCGGTTCTAATCCCAGCAGTTCCTCTTGCCATCCAGCTCCCTGCCTGTGGCCTGGGAAAGCAGTCGAGGACGACCCAAAGCCTTGGGATCCTGCACCCATGTGGGAGACCCGAAAGAAGCTCCTGGCTTTGGATCCGCTCAGCTCTGGCCATTGCAGCCATGTAGGAAGTGAACCAGTGGATGGAGGATTTTTCTGTCTTTTTCTCTACAAAAAATAAAAACAAATAAATCTTTTTTAAAAAAATTGTTTAACTATCCAGTTCAAAAAATTGGACTCTACCAAAAAGCAGTGCGTGGTGATGCTTATTGAGTTAATGAATTGACAGTCTGTGTTACTACCGTGCATCCGGGACAGTGACTGCTGTTCCTGTGTATTCTGGGTGGAACCCTTGGTCTTCTGCGTTACCCTCTGTTCTTTCCCTTCATTCCCAGTCTTCCTGCTGATGCACGGAAATAAGTAAACCAGGCTGATGTCCAGGATAGGTTTCTTTGCCAACGTCCTCAGCAATTAATCCTTATTACAATAGCCATCATGCTTTGCCAAGATCCTGAGTGCATCTGCCTTCCCTACTGCTTACAGCCACTGCGAGGCATTTATGAAAGCCAAGTGCAATGTATTCTGCTAAGCATTTTCACTGCATTTTGTTTTCGTCCCTCAATTGCTCTGGAAGGTTCCATCTAGGGGACTCGATTCGTCAAGCAGATCTGTGACTATTCAATCTATGCTACGTCGACTTTCATCTCAAACCTGGGCGTCCACTCTGCCTTGTCCTTGAATTTAAGAGACAGTCATTGTGGTGCATTTGGCAAAGATGCTACTCAGGACACCCATATCCCTTAGCGGCAGAGGGGGGGCTCAAGTTCGAGCTCCATTTGCTGACTCCAGTTTCTTGCTAACACAGACCCATCGGGGAAGTGACGAGGACTCAAGGGCGTGAGATCCCTAAATAGAATTCCAGGCTCCGAGCTACAGCCCCGCGCAGCACCGGGAACAAGGCGGTAGGTGGAAGATCTCTCCCTCTTTTCCCTTACTTACAGTGCCTTTCAAATAGTTCAAACTAACCTCGGAGAGCGCAGTGCACCAGGGGGCCACTAGGTGGGGGTGTGGCACTCCAGACAGAAGCGGCTATTTCCAGGTGGTGACTATTCAAAGTATTTGAGCTGATTTCACAGGTCTGTGACCCAGCGGGTTAAATCTATGCTTGCACGATCAGGTATGCGTCTCGGCTACTCGGTTTCCGACCCAGCTTCCTGCTCTTGGACATATTTAAGTTTGTACATAACACAAAAAGAATTCTTTTTATCTATAAAGCAATCTATCTTTTTCACTTGAATAAGTTATAGAATGTCTGGGCCCAGCACAGTAACCTAGTGGTTAAAATCCTCATCATGAATGTGCCTATGATCCCATATGGGCACAGGTTGTAATCCTGGCAGCTCTACTTCCCATCCAGCTCCCTGCCTGTGGCCTGGGAAAGCAATCGAGGACGACCCAAAGCCTCGGGACCCTGCACCCACGTGGGAGACCTGGAGGAAGTTCCTGGCTCCTGGCTTCGGATTGGTGCAGTACCGGCAGTTGTGGTCACTGTCATCTGACAGAGGATCTTTCTCTCTGTCTCTCCTCCTCTCTGTACATCTGCCTTTCCAATAAAAAGAAATAAATCTTAAAAAAAAAAAAGTTGCAAATTTAAAGGCTTCTTGGCTCCTTTTTTTTAAAAAAGATTTATTTCTTTTCCCTTGAATCTTTTTACCCTAACTATATAAAGATTGTCAAAAATATAATTAAAAAAATGGAAACACAAAGATTTATCTCTTTTTATTGGAAAGGGAGATATACAGAGAGGTAAAGGGGAAGATCTTCCATCCAATGATTCACTCCCCAAGTGCCTACAAAGGCTGGAGCTAAACCGATTCAAAGCCCAGAGCCTGGAGCTTCTTCTGGGTCTCCCATGCGGGTGCAGGGTCCCAAGGCTTTGGGCCGTCCTCGACCGCTCTCCTAGTCCACAAGCAGGGAGCTGGATGGGAAGTAGAGCTGCCAGGATTAGAACCGGTGCCCGTATGGGATCCCAGCGTATGCAAGGCGATTACTTTAGCTTCTAAGCTATCGTGCCGGGCCCTTGGCTTCATTTTTAATTCACAAAATACATAGGTAGTTAAGAAGAAAATTGAATTCATCTGCCCGCTTTGCAATTAATTCTCATTCTCACCCAGAGGAAATCTTGTTGTGTGTTCTAACAGGACTTGCTCCAACGTCCTATTTCCATTATTATTATTGACCATATTCTCTTCCCCTCCTTCACCTTGGCATTTCTGAGTGCGTTTCTCTCATGCCTGAAGGACAGAAAGCACTTTGGCTGGTTCCCCTGGCCAGACTCGTGGCTCGGACGTGGGAGGGGTACAGGCCTGGCTCAGGGAAAGGCAGCTCGCTAGTTCCGGGGGTGAAGGACAAGGTTACACCTGCTGTGAATAATCCGGCTATTCAGACAACCTGGTTGTCTGCAGGGGTAGGGAGGAGGAAAGACTGGCCAGGACTGGATACCCAAATGTTAGGGCAGAAGACCCAGACGGGCAAGAGTAAGGGGGAGGGACTGGGTAAATCCTGCAGATCTCCCGAGGCCCCTGGGCTGGGCCTCCAGCCAGAGATAAAGGGAATTTGCTAAATAAAGAAGTCAATTGTGGCAGACAAAAGCTCCCGGTGCAGGAAGTTAGTTCCACTGAAGAAGACAAAATTGCATACATTTGCATGTTACTCCTGGTGAGGTTGTTGCGAAGCCCACTGGCTGAGCAGGCAGCTGGAAGCTGGGAAGTTGCAAGCCCCGGCGGCTTTTCCAGCGGCGGACGGGAGTTCCGATCCAGGGAGTGCCTCCAGATGAAGCACCGTAGCAGACACCTGTGTGGTCCCAGTTAGGATGGACGGGTGTTACCGTAGAGCCCGGGCTGTGTGAGGAGGGGCTCTCCAGGGAGACTGGGGTGAGTTGGGCCCCGAGCAGAGCTCTCCTTAGCTAGAGGAGCAACTATGGGAGTTACTTCAGTTGGGTGGCTGACTTTAAGGCTATTTAGTGCCGGCATCTATAGTTTCCTCCAACTTTAGCTGCGTTCTGTGCACCTTAGCCAGCTTTGTTATGCCCTGCTGGCACTCATGTCCCTCATGCGGTTACTGACTTCACACTTACCGGGCCCCATACAGCCCGTGCACCTTATGCCAACCTAGCGTTTGTCGGGATTTCTTTTCCCAACTCTTCACACCTCCAAGGTCCCTGGTCTCACCCCAAGCAGTGCAAGGCTGCAGCCTCCCGCAGGACTCCCGGCTCAGCTCAGCTCTGCCGTGGAGGCCACTTGGGGAGTGAACCAGCGGATGCAACACCTCCCTCTTTGTCTCTCCTCTCTGTAAATCTTCTCAATAAAAATACACTTAAAAAAAAGAAAAGAAAGGCGTCTTTGTGGCTTCAGAGCAGTGTGGAAGTGCTCACAGATCAATATGGGGCAGATAAGGCTGAAAAGACAGTTAAGTAAGGACACAGTCCCCTAAATTATATTTCAATGTAGCCTTAGAATTTTATATATTAATTTTTAAAAATATAACTTTAGCTACCAATACAAGCCCATACATTTAAAGCAAATCAAAATGTGTAGGTTAGCTACAATGTATTAACAGAGCACTTTATGTAAATGAGTTTCTATAAATACAGAGAGGAGAGACAGGAAGTTCTTCTGTCCGATGGCTCACCCCCAGGTGACCACAATGGCTGGTGCTCCCACTGTGGTGCAGGGAGCTGGAAGGGAAGTGGGGCAGCTGGGACAAGAACCAGCACCCACATGGGATGCCTGGATTGTTCAAAGCGAGGATTTGGCCACTGAACCATTGGCTCTGGGTCTCAGCATACATTTCCAGGACAAAAGTAGCTAACTTTTCCTATATTTCGCCAAACTTTCACTCACTGAGTTAAGAGGCGAAGTTAGAATAGCAGCTAAAGGTCAAACGAATATTTATTTGTTACTATAGCAGCCAAAATGGTCTATTATTCGGAGGTTAGGGTCTAGAGGAAAAAGCTATACCTATTAGAATTCTGTGTATTCACACACACACACACACACACCTTGTCCGCCTCAGCCACACTTACTCAACGGTCTTCAGACTCCAGTCACACCCCACTCCCAAACCGGCCCAGGAGAAACACACAGCAGCAGCAACAGCAGCAATAGCACCAATCCCAACAGGGAGAAGGAAGCAGAGCGGGCTGGTCACTCCCGGCCACGCAGGTTCGGGCTGGACAACACACCGTCTTCATAGGCCATCAGGCTGCAAGTCCACAGGGTAATTGAGCAGCAGATCGAGGGTCTGTGGGGTGCCGAGATGCCTGGGGGCTGTGTGCATGCCTGGCTGGACCGTGTTCAGGCTTTCCCCAGCAGTTTCCAAGACACCGTCGAACTCGTCTGGACAAGTCTGCGGGAATTGCGCACAAGGCTGCAGCATGTCCTCTCCGCAGTTGAGGAGGGGGCTGTGGCAGGCTTGGGGGTACCAGCTCTGACTGTCCCAGGAGGGGCTGCTCCAAGATGGGCTGGTGCAAGCCGGGTTGTTCCAGGTCTGGTTGCCCCACACCATCTGGTTGCTGCTCCACACGGGAAGGTTTTCGGGCGAGTTCACCAGGTAGCCCTGGTGGTACGGATAACAGAGGCCTGGGTATTCTGAAGTTGCGGAGCCACTCTAAAAAATACACAACTAAATCAAACAAACAAACACCAAAAACGGGGCCAGCACTGTGGTGCAATGAGTCAAGTTGCTGCTGCTCTACCTGCAACCCAACTCCCCCTGGTGTACCTAGAAAAGCTGCAGAGAATGGCCCAAAAGGCCTGGGTGTCTGCACCCAAGTGGGAGACCTGAGGAAGCTCCTGGCTCCTGGCTCCAGCACGGCTCAGCTCTGGCCTTTGTGGCCATTTGAGGAGTGAGCCGGCGGACAAAAGATTTCTACTTTTACTTCTGTCACTTTGCCTTTCACATAAACAGAAATAAACGCTTTTAAAAAAACAATGACAACAAAAACGAATGAAATCTTGGAGTTTCCCATTACCTGAATCATATTGTTTGGCCAGTTGTTCCTCTGCCACTTCTTGCATTTCATTCTTTGGTTCTGGAACCAGGTTTTAACCTGTAGAGAAAAAGGGACACAGGTTACAAAGCAATGGCAATGCTGGCACGTTTCCGGGAGAGTCCATGAGGCCAGGCGGCCACTCTGCTGAGTGAACCTCCCTGGTGGAGTGGCAGTTGGATGGTTGATGCAGTGGGAACTGCTTCTTTGCCTGGCACAGCGCCTGGGTTTGAATTGCAGCTGCCTCACTGTTCCAGCTTCCTTGGGAGACAAAGGTGATGGCTCAGGATCTGCAGTGCCCAGTGCCCATGTGGGACACCCAGATGGAATTTCAGGTCCCCGCTTCAGCCTGGCAGAGCTACAGTGAACTCTGGGCATTCTGGGGAGAGAATCAGAGGTGGAAAGATCTGTCTGAAGTAAATGAAACGAATAATTTCAAATAAATAAATCTTGGGCCCAGTGTGATGGCCTAGTGGCTAAAGTACTCCCTTGAAAGCACCGGGATCCCATATGGGCACAGGTTCTAATGCCGGCAGCCCCAGTTCCCATCCAGCTCCGTGCTTGTGGCCTGGGAAAGCAGTGGAGGACGGCCCAAAGCTTTGGGACCCTGCACCCGCGTGGGAGACCTGGAGGAAGTTCCTGGCTCCTGGCACAGAAGATCTTCCTCTCTGCCTCTCCTCCTCCCTGTATATCTGACTTTGACCGCAATGGCCGGTGATGTGCTGAACGATCAGGAGACAGGAACCTCCTCCAGGTCTCCCATGCAGGTGCAGGGACCCAAGGCTTTGGGCCATGGTTGACTGATTTCCCAGGCCACAAGCAGGGAGCTGGATGGGAAGTGGAGCAGCCAAGACTCAAACTGGCTCCCATAAGGGATCCTGATGCATTCAAGGAGAGGACTTTTAGCCACTAGGCTACTGCACTGGGCCCGAGACAGTGAAATCTCATCTACTGGCTCACTCTCCAAATGGCCACAACAGCCAGAGCTGGGCTGATCTGAAGCCAGGAGCCTCCTCTAGCTTCTTCAATGGGAACGAAATTGCTGCTACTGTGCCTGGGAAACCAGTGAAGGATGACCCCTAGTGCTTGGGTCCCTGCACCCATGGGAGTCAGAAGTTTATGGCTCCTGACCAGCCCGGTTCTGGCTGTTGTAACCATATGGGGAGTGACCCGGTGGACTTAAGATCTTTCTCTAGCCGACTCTCACCGTAACGCTATAACCCTGTGTTTTGAATAAACAGAGCCAATTGGTCTAAAGAAAATAGCCAATCAACACGGTAAGCTAAAGCTCCTGCCAATGAAAACAAAGGGGTAACTTTCACTGTGATGTGACTAAGGGTTTGTCAGGGACAACCCTGGAACATTCTAAGTTCATATGCAGCTGCTTTTACAGGGGTGACAGGACACCCAGGTGCCTGCAGATGTCCCCGCTTGGACCTTCCGCGATGCAGACCTGGCCTTACCTGCTTGTAGGTCAAGTTCAGCATACCGGAGAGCTCTTGCATCTGTTGCAGACTGAGGTATTTCTGTCTCTGAAATCTGTCGTGGAGGACACACAGCTGAGCCTGGGAGAACACGGTCCGCACTTTCGGCTTCTTGGCCTTCTTCGCCGGCTTGGCGCTGTCCTCCGCCGGCTTGGCGCTGTCCTCCGCCGGCCCGAGAGGGGTTACCTCGGGGCTGGAAGAATCGGGGCTGTCCTGAATGAGTAGGTCCGTGGAGGAGAGAAGCTGAGTGGCTGTTGGAAAACAAAGTGATGGTCTAAAAAAACTTTCTTCCAAATATTAAAATAATCGACTTAAAATGCGTTGCTTCCCAGGCTGTGACCCAATTCACTACCACTGCCTTGATGCCACAGAGCCTGAAGCTGTAGCCGAGCAGCCACCTCGCCACCAGAGCCCAAACACTAGAAGCTGTAGGAATTGTGAACGAATCCCTGCTCTGACTGTGAACTTCATCGCCAAAGTTACTCCTCCAGCGGCTGAAAGGAGTAGCTGGCTACACCCCTCGAGCACTGGACACGGCACACGAAGACTTAATACCCAAATACGCACCAGATTTGCTCACACCCACAGACTCACCTCAAGTGAACTTCCACACGCCTCCTGTGCAACACTGGAATAGCACTGCAAAAGCTTTCACACAAACTTTGAAAAAAATCAAGATGAGGTGAAAGTGGCTGTTCACACAGGCCAAGTAAGAACTGTGTACCCCTAACTCCCTCTCCACAGCCTACTTTTAAATTGTATAGTCCTACCTTACAAAAATGCAGCTTTTAAACCTTTGTGTGTGTGTGTGTCATAACTATTGAAAATGGTAAGTTGCTCCTTTTAAAAGGAGCTACTGGGCCCGTCGCACTAGCCTAGGGGCTAAAGTTCTTGCCTTGATTGCGCCAGGATCCCTTATGGGTACCGGTTCATGTCCCAGTGGCCCTGCTTCCTATCCAGCTCCCTGCCTGTGGCCTGGGAAAGCAGTCGAGGACGGCCCAAAGCCTTGGGTCCCTGCACCCGCGTGGGAGACCCGGAAGCTCCTGGCTTCAGACCAGCACAGCTCTGGCTATTGCGGTCACTTGGGAAGTGAATCAACGGACAGAAGATCTTCCTCTCTGCCTCTCCTTCTTCTTCTCTGTATATCTAACTTTCCAATAAAAACAAATAAATCTTGAAAATAAAATAAAATGTTTACCTACTGACAAGCTGATTTTCAAAAAATGATGTCTCATTGGCCGGCTAGGTGTTCCCGAGCTTGCCTTACACCCTGCAGCCCATGGAGGTACTGGTGGTACATGTTCTGAAGCCAAGAAAAACTCCAGGTTCGAATCCTACCCATCTCCTGTTTGTTAACAGGTTAAACTTTCTGGAATAATTTTTACCATAAAATCGGGTCAACACGTCCCCTGGCTGGCTCAGGAACCCACACTGCCCAGTCTAGCACCCACCGGCCTCCAAAACAAGCAACTGCAATGTAATGTAATGTATTCATTACATTGATTTGCTGTGCCATTTTCGGCAAATCTGCAAGGTGTCATGGTGGCTCTCTGGGCAAATGAGTAGCAGTAATTGTTTTCACTAGGTTGAGATCTAAAGAAATCCACCCATGTGATCGTCCCAAGATTCCGGAACGCCCTGGTTCTTCAAAGACCCCACCCAAGTCCCCAGAGCCACACTCCCTCAGGCCGCAACTTCTGAGGGCAAACATCACGGAAAGGGTGCGCGCCAGCAAGTTCGGATGGGTAGGGGGGCGTCGAGGGGCTTCCTAGCGAGCACCTGCTCTCGCGAGGGGGCCGTGGCTGCTCAAGAGACCTCGTCACCGTCTTCCTCTCCCTCCCTTCCGGAACTGGCTAACCCAGGACTGTATGCTCTTACCGGGGTCTGTGTGGGGCGTCCCGGCCGATGGCATTCCCAAGGGTGGATGGTTTTGTTCAGGTCCAGGGCTAGCAGGGGTAGGTGAAGAGCCCATCGCATCGGGTCCTTCCAAGGCTGGTAGTCTTTGTGGACAAGCTGCAGCCACACTCATGTTGCTTAAACAGGAGGGTCAAAAACTCAAACAGCTCTCTGTAAGGAAGACCAAGACTTTAGGAAGTGAATTAATCAGATGAAAGATCTTGGAAAAATAGAAAGCTTTCCAGAGGTAAAACTAGCAGAAAATGCCAGGAAAAAGTGTGAAGGCCTTACACAGCAGCACAGGCCGACAGCTCCAAGGCGACGAAAGGGATGCAACTTCCACAACTTCAGCCTGCGCATTTATATGATGGGCTCACCCTTGACCAGCCCCTCCAGGCAGCCTCCCACCCCCACAACACACCCTGGTGAATTTTTAGTTAATCTCGTCTGCCAGCCTTCCCTAGGCCATTGTGATGCAAAAGGAGTTGCTCAGACTAGCTGGGAGAACAGACTACCTGAGCTGGGGAGTCTGCAGACACAAATAACCACTGCCGCCAAATACCAGTGGGCCAACACTTTTGCCACCTTTCAACCCAGGCCACAGCACTGACGTGGAGAAATTCCAACCAGCTCCTTTTCCTCTCTCTCTTGCCCCGAGGTCATGAGGGCTAAGAGTTGATTGGGGATGAAAAACAACGCACTGTCAACTTCCACCTTGGTCACTAAATGCTTTGTAGTTTTCAGAAAGACTGTGGATTGAAAAAAAATGAAGGAAAAAAAAATAGAAAAAACAGGGAATAAGGTTATGGAAGATTTTAAATTAGTTTTTGGAAAAAAAAATAAAGCAAAAACAAAAATAAAAATTGCTTCTGTAGAAGTTACTGAATAGACTCTTGGTGGAACTAATTTAGAGCTAATGTCTCAGTTTCTTTACCCACGTACGGGGGCAAAAGGAACTACACTGTTGGGATATTCAGAATCTGCAAACGGGGACTGTTAGTAGAAATTTTACTTTCTGTAACCTAAACCAACTGGATTCTCATTTCTGTGTTGCTCGGCCTTTTGGCTAAGGCCAACCGCAATTCTCATTTTTCTGTGGTCTCTGCGTCGGAGGCACGCTCCTCGGAGGAGGCGTTGGGTCTCCCGTCTGTCCCTCAGCCCCAGGCAGGCAGCATTTTTTCCCCCTGTGCTCTGGTCGTTTGGTGAACATTTCCCCCTCGGGCCCGGCAGGGTTGTCCTGTCCTCCAACGTCGCTGCATCCTCACTGCACCCACTTGGAGTCCCGGGAGTGACGAGCGTGCGTTTCCCGGAGAGACACCCGGGGAGCTGGGCTTCAGCACTGGTGCTCGTGGACAACGACAGCGACCCACAAGTCTCCATTTTTCCCCCTAGTCTAACGTTCCAAAAACCGTATATTTCTTACTCTTTCCAGTGTTGCTCAAAACCACAGTGAGGGGAGGAGTTTAGGACCCTTAAAAGCCACAGAGGAGGGGAGGAGGAGGGACAGGGAGACAGCAGAACTGAGCTCGCGTAGGATGCGACTCTTGAAGCGGGGGCGGGGGGAGGGCGCGCAGCAAAGTGCAGACTGCCAGCCAGCGGTCTGGGAAGTCAGGGCTGTCAAAGGCACCAGGAACCCCAAGTTCGCTAAACAGCAGGAACCCGGAGTTGTGTCCTTTGCTCAAGGGAATCTTTTGCATAAGCAAAGTCTGGAGCTGCTTCCCCCATCCCTCCCCCCACCCCATCTGAGTCCTTTTGTGCTCAGGGTGCGGCCCCCGGAGGAGCCAGGACCCGAGGGGAGGGGGCTGGCAGCCCGCCCACGGCCTCACTACATTCTTTGCTTGGGAGAACCATTTGAATAAGGATGAGAAGGTGGCGTGAGTGGTTGAAGACTTTGGGTTTGCTGCAAAGGGGACTTTGTGGGAGTGGAGGAGGGGAGCACGGAAACCAGCTCACCATCTCCAGGTCCCAAAGGATTGGAAAGGTTTAAAAAAAAAAAAAAAACACGCTGTGCACTGGGTGCCAAGTGTGAGCTGGGGGAAGACCTCCTGTCACATTGAAGGAAAAATACGGACAAAACAGGCAAGGAAATAGAGAATAGTTTGGGCAAAGGAAGCGCCAAGGTATGAGAAAAAAAAAAAAATAGGGTTTCAGCAAACCCCGTGCCAGAAAACAGGGCACACTTGGTATAGCTCACAGTGCAAGTCCCCTAAAGTTACCTGCAGCTCAGTGCCTGGCCCTGCCACAGCTGAACCTGTGACAAGGCACAACCAGCCAGAACTCTGAGTCCTGGCGCTTCCAGGTCCCCCCAGCCTGCCGTTGCCTGCGAGCTGCAGGGCGGACGCCGTGGGGTCTCTGTATTGCAATAGGTCTGGCAGGTTGTGAAAGGCGGCAGCGACACAGTTTATTGCAAAGAGGAACTGCTGAATGTGACGGAGCTGCAGGGTGTTTTGAACCAGTCATAGCCAGACACAGGAGCTGACTGTTGCCACAGGCAGCGGCTGAAGCGGCGGCAGTGGAGCCCTGCGGCGGGCAGTCAGCTCTAGGCAGCTGGGATGGATTCCCGCCACTCTGTTCCCTTTACTGAGAGTGGTGCCCTGTGGTGCCCTGTGTAGTGTGTATTAGGTTTGAGTCAATACAGCTTCCAGGCGAAAGCAGGGTGGTGAAGTTTGGCAAGAACCAGAACTTGTTTTTTTGTTTTGTTTTTAGATTTATTTATTTATTTAAAAGATTTATTTATTTTTATTGCAAAGTCAGATATACAGAGAGGAGGAGACACAGAAAGATCTTCCGTCCGATGATTCACTCCCCAACTGACCACAACAGTTGCTGCTGCACCTACCTGAAACCAGAAGCCAGGAGCCTTTCTGGGTCCCCACACGGGTACCAGGTCCCAAGGCCTTGGGCCGTCCTCCACTGCTTTTCCAGGCCACTAGCAGGGAGCTGGATGGGAAGTGGGGCTGCCAGGGTTAGAACCGGCGCCCATATGGGATCTGGGCGTGTTCAAGGTGAGGACTTTAGCTACTAGGCTACGGTACCAGGCCCTCTTCCACTGCTTTCTAAACGCCTGTCCCTTGAGGAAGCATTTGATTATCACCTGATCCAGAACTCAGGATACCAACAAAATGTCAGAAATGATTATTCTTTTTAGGAACACATGCTTCATTCTTATCTGAATGCCTGTGTCAAAAGAGCTGACAATTCGAGATGGCCTGCAGCTCCTGGGAAAGAGGAAGTTCACACTTAGCATATGGGTCCTCCTACTTAACCTGTATCCCAAGGCTGTCTTCATGTTCACACATATTTTATCACTTGCATTTTTGATGTTAGTCCTGTTCTCCCGGCCTGAACCCTCACCTTCTTATAATCTAGCACCAATGTATTGATCAGAATGACTTTTTGAAAGATAACTACGTCACACAATTCTGTTGGAAATCTTTACTTAGTCTTCTTGTTTAGGGTCAAGGTCACTGGCAAGAGCCCTCCTTCCCCCTTGGCTGGCTTCTCTCCTGGGATGTCGCCCACCTCCCCGTGGAACCTGCAACAGGCCGGAAGGCTCCCACCTGGGGCCTCTCCTTTGTCTGTCTGTGGTCTGCCCGGAGTCTCCCTGCTTCCAGCCTTGAATCCTGCGGATCCCTCCTCTTGTCCCAGTCATTTTTAGGTAAGCGTCATTGACGGCCTTGTCTTCTCCCACTAGGACAAAAGCTCGGGGAAGGAGATGATTTGGACTCCGTCCCTTTAGTGTCCCGTCACCAGCCCTAAGAGAACGCCCATGCTCTGACATCATCAGACTGGCGTCATTACTCTGGCAGCTATACGGGACCTAGTCCATTTCACCGCAGTCGCCGAGTGGGAACCTTCGGTGCTTGCGACCTCGAATATGTTTTCAAAGTTCTTCGGTGATTCTTTCTGTTTGACAGCTACTAAAACTCCGGGACACATGCCTCGCCTGCCCCTTTCGCCTCCATATTTCTTCCGCCCTGCACGAAGGGGGCCTAGGAGTGGATTTTCCAATAAATCCGTTACAACTATGGACAACTTACTTGCTGGTGTTACTCCATGAGCAGGTGGGCGGTCGGCGGTCATCATCTAACACTGTTCTAGAACAAAACCAGGCAAATCAGGGTAGTCATTTCTTGATCAACGAACACAGTAAAATGAGATCTGGAATTTGGTAAGCTAATAGAGGTTACACATCAATATTTTCTCAATTCAAATATTAAGATATATGTAATGCTTATGGAGATTCATATAAATATTAGCGTTTTCATGTAGTATGTGGGGTTTTTTTTATTGGATATGTAGCAGAGAGCAAGTTCCTCCATCCATTGGTTCCTCCTCAAACGAGCCTAATGGTTGGAGTTGAGCCATTCCGAGCCTGAAGCCAAGAGCCAGGAGCTTCTTCCTGGTCTCCCACATGGGTGCAGGGTCCCATGACTAGCTTGCTGGTGCTTGGAGGAGAAGGATAAGCCAGCTGAGCCAGCACACTGTCCCCTCCCCAGGTTCTCTGTTACTCCACTTTTCAATTATGCAAAATCTTTACAAAATGGTATGAGTGCGGACCTGGCACAGTAGCCTAGTAAAGTCCTCTCTTCAATGTGCTAGGATCCCATAAGGTCACCGGTTCATGTCCCGGCAGCCGTAGTTCCAGGCCTTAACACAGATGGCTTTACCATTGCAACAGCATTAGCCGCTTTGACTCTGTATGTGTGTGTGTTTAGATTCCTGGCTCAATAACCCCTCAAGGACGTCCTTGTACAACCTCTGGTGATGCTATTCAACGTGCAATCGCACTTCCCAGCAACATCAGCATCAGCTGGAAGCTTGTTAGAAATGCAGATTAGTAGGCTGGGTCTATTCCAGGCCTATTGATAAGAATCTCTGGGTTTTGTGTGAAGAATCTTATTTTTAGGGGAGCTGAGCTGTGGCTCACAGCTGGCACGGGCATCCTCTGTGGGCACTGGTTCGTGTCCCGGCAGCTGCACTTCCCATCCTGCTTACGGCCTGGGAAAGCAGCAGATGGTCCAAAGCCATGGGACTCTGCACCCATGTGGGAGACCTGGAGGAAGTTCCTGGCTCTGGGCCGCTGTGGCATCGGTGTATGGAAGCTCTTTGTCTCAGCCTGT